AGACAATCAGTTTCAGCAGAATTTTTCACTATTGGAGCAGTGACATAAGAAGGCTGTCAGCAGCTATTTGTGGATAGCTACCAATGCCCATGTTAAAGAGCATTGTGGTCACACCAGTGGATAGTACCTTCTTTTCAACCATTGGCTTAGGACAAGGCGTTCTCCCTTTTTCTTTTCCTACAAGAACCCTGGCAAAGCAATGACTGATCCTAAAATCAGGCATTTTGACTGCATGTTGCTGTTGTTTTATAATCTGTACCTAGCACTACTGACTCCAGATGTTTCAGCAATTTGTTCTTTTACCTTCATCCTGTTAAACAAGAACTATTGTAGTAAGACTCCAACTTAGCTTGGGAGCTATTACAAGAATCCGTAGAGAATATGGAGGCCTAACAGCCAAGGGCTTTGCATTACCACACCCTGCTTCACACGGGAAGGAATTAAGATTCTTTCAGTTGCCTGTAAATTTGCTTGCTCTGATGTTTGCCACTTGTAACACTTGGCATGAAGACCTCCCCTGAAACAGGATTCATACTTGGTATTACAACTTTGAATAGACGTACTTGTATTTGCTACAATTGTAACAGGACCAACACCCTGAATATTTTTCAGTGTAGTACCCGATGGCAGGAATTAGCCTGCCACAAATAATTATCCTAAATCTTACTGACACTTATAATTGAAGAATGACAAAATATACAGCCCCTTTGGGGTTGGCTTGGAGGAGTTCAAACGAAAAATCTTATTCCTAACAGTAGAATACCATGGTGGAAAGATGGAAATGGAAATGCAGTGTCTGTCCTAACAATATTTAATTAACAACCTCTCAGAGATGAATGTACCTTTAGCATACTCATTATTGAACAAGCATTACGTGGGATGCTCAGCCTCACTGAAGGGGAGTGCTCTGTCACCATCCACAATGCTACAATTTCAACTGAAGAGGCCTGAGCAAAGATGAAGGAAGCAGCTAACCAGATTGCTGAACAATTCCGAACACTGCAACCGAAGAACTAGTTCAATGAATCAAGCCTTGGACGCCAGATTTCTTCTGTTTCTACATCATGGGGTGGGAAAAGTGACACAAATGGGGATTGTAATGCTGGTGGGATTTCTGGTTTTAATGATGAGCATAGACCTTATTTGCAACTATAATTAGCTGTGTACTGTCTTCTGTTTCTTCCCTCTTCTAGCCCTCTCTCTAATACCTAGGGATCACCACAGCCAAAGATGAGCCATATGCCCAACCAATAGTAAAGAATGTCTGAGCCAGTGGTGGTGTGGAGGACCTTGCATAACCATGTTTTGTCTCAAAAATTGTGACTGCTCTGGCAGAAAAACTGTGAATGAAAGAGAGGATCTTGCTGAGACCCTGAAGTGCAGTGCTGAGCCAACTCCCTGCTCCACCTGGAAACTTGTGCTCACTTCCCTACCCTGCACTCAACTCCCTGAAGGAGGGCATCAAACAGCACAAAAATATCTCATTCATGTAAGAGGCTGTACCAGGTTAACTATGAAAGGAAGCAGACTGGGCTCCCCTGCTCTCTTTTTCCTCTCTTTCACTGTGTCACAATTTCAGCTCTGGACCAGCCACACAGTGAGACCGAGGCAGGATCTAAGGACTGATGACATTCTTTGTTCTCTTCCTTTCTGCTTTTATTTCTCTTCTCCCTCTGTCTGGGCAAAGCAAGGCTATCACTTTCTATTCTATACTCTATAATGAAGTTTATTGCAGGAGTGGGGAGTTGTAGAAATGTTGTGATTTGTGAGCCAGCACGTTTGCGTAGTGTGTTGAGGGAACTGAGAGTTTATTAAAGTGTACTGTAAAAATTACAGGCTTGCTGCCCAGCACCTGTGGAAGTCTTCAGATGTGAGGGCTTGTTAGCCAACACTTTTTAAAAATAAATAGTGGACTGGTTGCCAGCCACAAGGTAATCACACAAAAAAAGAGATCCCTAAAGCACGTCTAGTGTCTTTGTTGAATCCTGATGGGAATTTATAATGAACATCATGGCCCCTACTGTTGGGTCATGACATGCTCAAGCAGAAATTCCTTTAGCTAGTCTTTTGGCAGTGGTTAGGCATCTACAGAGGAGGTAAGTTTGAGCAGCAGAGAAATAAGTGAAAGGGAAAAATAATAAAGAAGGAAAAGTTGAATAGTGAATAGGAGGTTTAAGTCAAGTACGGGGTCATGTAATAAAAGTAGTACATCTAACAATAAGAAGAGGTGAGCAGGAAAGGTAGATCTTTTACACATCAAATAACTATTGCTAAAGAACTACCTGATTGCAAGGAATCAGTTTGTATACTAGAAAACCAGCAGAAATATACAAATACCACTACACAGCACCAAACCGGTAAAAGCCCAGTTCATTAGAGTTTCATTATAGCTCTTAAAAAAGTCTATTCTGACCTCTCAAACTGGAGTATGTCCCCCACCAGAACAGGTGATAATGAACTAAGATTAAGAGGAAGATTCTAGAACAGGTAGCTGTTCCACCAAAATAAATATGCAATTACTTATATACACTATACTTTAAAATGCATATGTTGTACAACCCTCAGACCTCACAAAGAAAAATTGTTTAAGTTATTTTTTTACACAAGTCCTGAAGCTGCCCTAAGCACCATATCAGGAATGTGCTAATATAATTTTGTCCACAAGGGAAATATTAATTAAAAATAAACAGTTTGAGTCAAAAAAGTACTTGTAAAAAACACTTACTTTTAACATCAGAAATATTCCTGAAAGCTGCTGTATGAACACAGCCATTCATTGCACTTGAGAGAAACCCACACAGTCCTCCTGCGCTAGAGTATATGGTTATCACTGATACACAAAACATCTGGCACAGGAGATGTCTTGCTGTTCATGAGACAACAGTAAGTAAACAATGGAATGCTACCATGAGGAATGCAAATACAATTTTAGGATACTGCAGGAGAGATTACAACAACTACATCTGCCAGGGGTAGTTACTTACACTATAAAACAAACTTAATTCAAGTATCCCCATTCAGGAAGGCTAAACTTGAACTACAACAGGTACAAAACAGAGAGGAAGTTAAGAGTGTCTCATTTATAATAACAAAACAAGGCCTAAGCATAGGCCTAATAACTGCTCTGAAAGCACAAAAATAAAAGTGACAGAGAAAGCAAAAGCTTGCATTTAAAAAGGAAAAGGATGATATGCCACTGTATCTGTAACTGTTAGAAAATAGCTTTGTCACTGTCTCAAATAGGAGAACAGCAGAAAAAAAAATGCAAAATCCAAATAAATCCTACAGTTTGATGCAGCTGCTTTTAGCAGACTGAACCTTGTGACTCAAATCCCTTCCAGTTTGGAAATAAGGATGTGTCTGAAATACATACTGAAACAAAAAAAAGGGAAAACCATATTAAAAGAATCCACTAGTTCTACCTGATAATAAATGTATTTTTATCTTACTATGATGATGCAAGCTCCAGGGTTGATTTTCATTATGATTCTTTCAACTGTTTTTCATTGCAAAGACATTATAGCTTTTCATGCCACTAATGTAAGAGGACAAATGGAAAAGTCCACTACATATTCAGAGTTCTTTCAACACTAGAAATAAATTACAGATATATTTAAATACATTGGTTTTTTTAGTGACTTCAAACTAAGTTACTTTAAGTTTTTTACTCAGCTGGAAACAAGCAGCTCTAAGATTGAGGTATCTGGAAACCAAAAAGTAAATGTTACCAACGAACAGTATCATCTGAGACAGCTGAAATGGGTTGAAATGGTAGCCAAGCTTACTAAATTGCATATGTAATAAAAATGCTTTTACCAAAACCAATCAGATAAAGAAGTTCTCTTGCTCTACATGCTCAAGTAATTTATGCTTTAAAAAAACCCCACTAACTTGCGATGTATTTCTACATGTGCTTTGTAGTAGACAGCCTTTAACTAGAAGAATTCTCAGACTATTTTCAACTTTCACCAGACACAGAGAAAAAGTTCAAGAAATGTCAAAAAAAAAAAAAAGAGTGTAAATCTGATTTAATACTCAATAACGCTCAAAACTGTATCCGATGTTGCTCTCTCAAGTCACAATCTGCCTGTTTTAAAAACTTTTATTACTCCCAAAATAAATATTTCCCAAAGCAAGGAGAGTAGTATCAGTATTTTTCAGGAGTTTATTATATGTTTGTAATACTTTTCAGATTTCTTATCTATAGGCATGCATTTCCGTTCCCAGAGTTTACCTTTCACTTTATGAAGCCATACTATGCTATGTAAAAAGTTCTGTGCTACTGCAGCAACAAGAAATTAACTGGAGTCCTGCAAGTCCTTCAGTGATAAAAAGTAACCAAGTGAAACTTCATCATGAAAGACTTCGGTAATGAAAAACATAATTTACCAAGAAGTTAAAAAAAAAAACAGAAGCAAATTATGGTCTTACCATAGTAGTTCTGATGACTGAGAAAAAGCCAAACAATGACATATTAACATAATATCCAAAAGTATCGTGTTTGCAAGAGAAGTTAACGTATTACACAGCATTGCAAATAAAACATGTCTACCAAGGTGATGTGTAAATACCAGCAATTAGAGATGGAAAATACTTGGGGGCAGGAGTGGGGGCATTAAAACACATGCAATCTGAAGAACTTCCGGAGTTTCTCTGTAGTCACCTGATGTTAAGATTCACAGTAAGTTTGTTGTTCCTCTACTTGCTGGACAACAAAGAATCTATTAAGATGACTGCCACAGAGCACATCCTTGAAGCAGAATTAAACTACCACTGACTTTGCAAACATAGAGTTAGCCTTGAAAACAGTGACAACAATTAAATACTCAATATGGCCAAACTATACAATTACATCTATCACTAATTGCTTTTATCTAATTCAATGAAATCATACAAAACTATTAAAGGTTTCAGTTAAAGAAATCAAACAATTAACATATGAAAAGAAAAAAAAACTATTAGTTTTTCATCCCAAATCTTTTTAAAAAATATTAACTTACCAGCTTAATTGCCACATAGTCATTTGTGTATAAATTTTTTCCTTGAAAAAAGAATAAAAACAAGAATGTGAGACACTGGCTTTTCTTTCCAAGTAAATGCCATTTAAATATCAAGAAAGTTTTCAAAACATTTTTCATCTAAGGTGCTAGGTGTTCTGGCAGTGACTTAGGATATATAGGTTTATTAGTCCAATACCTTATTTTAAAAACTTTTATTCATTGAATATTGTAAGAGGTGGAAATTTCACTGTGAGTTTCAGATATTTCACCAAGTTTGTGGTATTTTTATGTACTAAAAAAGCTGGAAAATTGGTAAATCACAATAATCAGAAGATTATATTCTACATTTTCATAATTATTGCTGAAAACAATTTTGAAATGTATGTTTAAATTACCATATAATTTTCAAACATCAGCCACTAATTAAAACTAGAATTAATTAATTAATTGCGGACTTTTTTTTCCCCTAGATAATTAGTAAATTATCTAATTTACTAAGCTAAAAGTTAGGACAGGACAACAACATTACTGAGAGGCTTACATCACATGGGAAAATGCATCTACTACTTTAAAAGAGAGTCTGTAACTGGATAAGAACTTTTCAATAAGCATCACTTCAAACTGTATACAATGACTAAAACGTTAAACAAGTTTTATAGGTGTAAAATTAAAAAACAGCAGATAAAGGATAAATTGTCACTTTCAACACTTTTTGTTTCTTTACAATCTTCAAATGCATTTAGCGTATGCTATTCTTAATCCTCTTTTTTTCTCAGTAGAATTACTCAGGTCTGAATTTCCTATGTTTAGCTCTGTTTAGTTAAAGAAATTAAATAGCAAAAAGACATAGACCAAGTCTAAAAAGTTCCCTGTGAAGAGAGTTACACAGAATCATAGAATATTCTGATTTGGAAGTGACCCACACGGATCATTAAGCCAACTCTTACGTGAATGGCCCACACAGGAAACTCACCGTGCTTTGACCAAGTGAGTTACACCAACAGTCAAAGACGGAAGTGCTAATGATTCTTTTAAAAAATAGATGCATTAAAAGCTTAGTGGATCAACCTCACAAAAAAAAACCCTAACCCAAATTACCTGAGGGCTTCAAAACAACAAACACAAAATCTGTATGAGCAGCATGCCATAATATGACCCACAAAAGGAAGTAGGGACTAGAGTGGATATCCAGGCACCCTAAGTATTTGTTATCTGATGATCATGATTATCAGCTACATTTTTGATAAGAACTGTACTTTGTTTAAAGTTGTTTCTGTGCCTTTGCATGGTACTACAATCTATAAGACACTAATAGAAATTCTTGTAGGAACTCTGCTCGTTCCATTTCTTATATATATACATCTCCCACTCTGAGTAAGTAACAAATCCAGTTAAATAGCTGGATGATGAGTTTCAAAAGTTCTAATGACATGCTTATTCTGACATAGCATTAGAAGGGACACGTGGTCAGTCAGGATAATTGTCTCTTTAAAATACAGGAGAGACATATATATATAACACCACTGTTCATCTGTCCATAAGCACACAACAGGTATTGAGTAACGCATCACTTGCAACAGCAACAAGTTCTCTTACTAGCTTATCAGTTTATCTTAATTATATAAGTTTAATTTAAGTATAATGAAGACTCTAAAAATTAGCAGCTCAATATCCAAACCAATTTAGTCCTTTGCAAGATAATGGCTGAACATCACAGACAGTAATTTGCTACACAGAGCCAACTTCCCATTTGATCCACAAGCCACTACTGAAGTCTGACCACCACTTCTTCTCAGGTGGAAGAATAGCTCCCAATACACAACTGAATTTTTATCTTCTGAGCATAACTCCATCACTCCACAAATTTTTTCCTCCTTTAAGTCCCTCAGGTCTAACCTCAGGATACATGCTTAAAATATAAAACCATCTCCAGAAGTGCATGTAAAACTTAGTGCTTGTGTACACCTTCGTAGAAAGGGTGCACACTAAGTACCTGATACTGCAGCAAAGCAAATGAAAAAGATTTTAAAATTAAATCAGAATCTGTAATAGCAATATAACTCTTGCTCTCAGTAACTTACATTTAAAACATGTTACCTCACAAAAAACTCCCAATGAATAGGGATTTGAAATATCTAGAATATAAGCAAAACCCACAGACATTAAAATGAGAAAGGCTGCACTTATCCTGGTAACTATTGCAGGACAGTACACTGCCTCATAATCTTCCTCCTATTCCTTTTATTTACTTGTTCTGTTTTATTTCAGTACTGTCAAACTGTAAGTCTTAATTGATTTAATATTGCATTTAAAATAAAATACATTGTTTCACTGTAACAGCTGCAAGTAAATTAGTTAATCAGATATTAATTTTTAATCAGCTCTGTACTTTGTGATCAAAAGAACAGACAAAAAATTAACTTTACTAGTTTGCAGTTGCCTTTCTGTAAAATTAATCTTCTGGTTTGTTTAGTTCATTAAGAGGTTTGAAACAAAAATTCGGATTTAAAGGCAGTATGCAAAAGTTTAGGAAGTGAGGAAGAGCAATTTTGCAGCTTGATTTGTGGACTGCAAAGGCATGTATGAAACACTGCAAATGTCAAAATGTAACAATTTTGTTTAAGTATTAATAGTAATAACAAGAGTCCCTATTACTGAGACAGTAAAATTTAGCGTCCTAAGTCAGAGCTGCAGCAATATTGTCTTGAATTCCTCTACAGTATTAATTTGCTAAGCTTGTTTACAGCCTGACAGGCCGCAGAATGCACTATATTAAAAATATATTTTATGCAAGCACTATATCACAAATATTGTCTGAAGGGCAATGAGTGTTAGTTCTACCACAAGCAAAGATCAACAGAAGCAACACCTATATAGCCCACTGTCCTCTCAAAGATCTAACTTTGAAACCCACCTCTATTTAATGCATGAAGCACTTGAACTCAAGCCTTCTAACAACACTAGAATAAATTCCTGCAATTAAATGTCAAGTTGTACTTATTAACACATACTTGAACTTAGACATCTTGAATGCTGGCTAATCATGTCGTCCATCCTGGAAATAAAAGTCCCCAAAACTAAACATATAGTCTTTCAGAAGTGCACACCCATCAGTATCTATGTTAATACATGCTAACATTTCCAGCTTGGCTGCACAAATTCTTTGAAACTCAATAGGTCCTTCTCAGTCTGTGCTTTCTCCACCATCTGATTTTCAGCATCTGTTCAGCAGAGAATTAGAGCAACTGAATTATCCCAAATTTTCTCTACAGATGGATTCTCACTGCCCTGTGTAACAGCAACTCAATGTTTAGTCTTGCTACATTAGAAAAGAAACCAAAGAATTTCTGGGCTCACTGGTTTTAAAATCACTATAGTACCTGTCCCTAAATATACCTCAATAAAGTGCTTCAGAAAGTCAGAAAACACTGCTACAATAACCATGGTGTATATTGGCAGAGAAAACTGACTGAACTTAGGAGAGCGCTGGACATAGCTAGAAAACATTTTAGTCCCAGGAAGTATCCTGCTATTCAGATTCTTTATATCATCAAGCACTAGCTGCATTAAAACCATGAAAGATGGGTTGAATATGCCTTGCACATCTGAAGCTTCAAAGCAGTTTGAAGAGCTACACGGTATTCATACAGAAATTTTCTTGCCTACACTGCATAAAAATGGCCTTGAATAATGTAAACTGAAATAAAGAAACAAGGATCTTACCTAATCGCAGTTCTCCAAAATTACCACATCCAATTTTTTTACCAACTCTGAAGTTAGGGCCAACCATTAACACTCCAGAATTTGAAGAACCAGTTCCACGTGAATTATGGCCTGATCTCCCACTAGGCCGTGCCATTCTTTCATCTGGTTTATCTCTGTCCTTCTTTTTATTTTCCATGTCAAGTTTACGGTACTCCACTTTGATTTATTCCTCTTTTTAAAAATCAGTATAAGCAAATTCCAACTGGACAATGTGAGAATGAAAACATCATGAGTGAAGTGCCCAGCTGGTTACTGTCAGTAAGCAGTCAACAGCAGCATGTTCAATCTGTTTGCAAAGCCTTGGTGGTATTTGTAGTAAAACGTATTTCCAAAATGCACGACACCACTGCTGGTATTTCCTAGTCTTTAGAGAAATTCTGTTAAAAGAAAAAAACAAAGTTATTCAAGACACTAAGATTCTTGTACAAAATTACTTTTCCCTTCAACTAGTCACACAATTAAGGTATAACTAATTACATTTGCTTTACAGATCTATAAAAAGCACTACTTTAAGGTTAATTTTATTTCTAGTATGTAACAGTGAGAGATATTGGTGCGACTGAAGTGTGCTAAAATTCCAACACTTCAAGCAATAGTTATTTGTCAAAAAGCAACAAAAAACCCCTATGTAACTTCTTCCTGAATAAACACAATTGACGCTTGGACATGCTCACTTCACCTTATGCCATCTCTTCAAAAGAAAGCATTTTATCTATTTTCCCTCAAACAGTATCTGCTGTTTTAAGCAAATGTTCAAGCTGCACAGTTATTGAAGTTGTAGAAATATAATGTATTTTCTGAATTGCAGTTTCTGAGATGCACAAGTAATAAACTCATGGCAAGGACACTTGAGTTCTTTCAGTAACTCCTAGAATGTAAAAATAAACTATATTTACTTATTCTCCCCTATAACCATCATAAATCTGTTTCCCTGCTCCCCTTCTCCCTTGTTTAGCATCATTGCCTAGACACTAATTTCTACATGGATTTCAGCAAAAACAATGTTATCTTACTACTGTAATAAAGAACCACAAGAAAGCTTTTGTTTTGAAATCTCAGCTATAAGAACACCAGATATTGTTTTCTATTTGATGACAGTGGTGTAAAACCCTGTAATTCAGAAGTTTCTACATCGGCAAAATTCAACAATGAGCTAAATACCTGTCCAAAATTATTTTCCTACATTTGCTTCAATGTTGGGAATACACTGCAGTAATAGAGAACCCCCTCTGGAAAAATGTACTTCATGTGCTACAGTCTATTTTAAAGGTAGTCACCAGGAATTTATTTTTAACACTTTGAGCTGAAGACACTTCCATTTTCTAAGCCAATTTCTCACAAAGTAAAATTATTACTCATATCACAGCTTACCACAAAATTTCAAAAATCAAAGAGACAGTAGTGAAAATACACCAAATAATATGGCCAGTCACATGAACAGTTGCATCTGCTAAATCATACATAGTTATAGCATGGTTATAACTAGATGACATTTAAAAATCATTAACAGCTGACTAACCTACTACATGAACAATGAAGTACATGGAAATTTGTTTGGCAAATAAACATGACCACAATACTGTGCAAGGTGGGAATGAAAGGATTATTCTGAGAGCAATCAAAAAACACAAATGCAGATTATAATCCAAGATGACTTCCTTAATGCCAGGGAAAAAGACTTCAGCAATAAGTAATGAAAGCTGTGGTGTTTTACGGTACAGACAGAAGCATTTAAGGGAAAAAGACACCTACATAATCTTGCAGGTTTTCAAGCACCACCCCTAGATACCCTAAAGTCACCTTCTAAACCACAGATCTCATAGGAACTGACTCAGTGCGAAGCAACAGCTGATTTTCCCTCACCCGTTATGCTACAAAAGCTAGTGAAGAAATAAGAAAGCTAGACATTAAGCGTGTTGAAGTAGAACTTCAAGGTCACCATTCAGTTCTTAGAATGAAGATTAGCACATTTAATGCAACAGAATGCAACTGAATATTTTAGGTACCAAAGAAAAGAAGACTTATGTTCCGTATCTTACTGGCTTCTTCAGAAAGAACTAACAATAACAATCCTTGAATTTTTAGTGTACCAAGTACATTATAAACAACATCAATTTTGATTTCCAGAAATGTGTCTATTAAATGGACAATCTATTAGACAGTAGCTTATGCCCTCCCCTTTCCTCCTGTCGAACCAACAGATACTCCAGGTATATTACAGGTAAGCTTTCTTACATAAAATGAACTTAGTACCTTTTCATGAGATATCTGCTAAACAAATAACACAAGTCCCATATATTGTCCCACATCACATATCAAGAGGAAGACATGCAAGCATTCCTGTCACAGTTTCTCCAGGACAGAGGCATTCTCTTACGTTTCCCTAATAAAATAATATGCAACTAACTCAAAATAAGGACAGCGCTTATGACTTTCCTCATTTTGAAGTTCCTGTGCAGTATTTTGTGATGTATTTACCTTAAAAACACGAGTTTTCATGGTTATATTTATTTGTATTGTACTTACCTACGACAGTGTTATAATGTCGATGGCAATATCTCTTCTTCACCATAATGCTCACATTCTAGAGGAGAAGCATCAAAAGGCAAAGAGACATATTTATGTAGTATTTGCAATTACTTAGCATGTAAAAATTTCTGATACAGAATGAAAGTACAGTTTTTCAAACTGCATTAGTTTTCTTAGATTGTTAAGGAAGATGCAGTAGATTTGTTTGAAAGACTCAACATAATTTTTAAGACTCAGAAGTCAGACATCATTCAAAGGTGTGCATCATCTGAAGTGCAAAAGGAATACATACAGCGTAAGCATTCCAAATTATTTGCAAAATCATTTTCTTGCTATATGATAGTTATGGGAAATCTGTCTGACAAACATGCCATCCTCATATCACAGCTTGATTTTCTGTTTATTTTTCATTTTTTCATTTCTGCCTACATAAACGAGCACACTTAAACTATAAACTTCAGCCCAACATCAGGGAATACTATTAGGATTTAAATAACTGTTCAAAAATTGTTCAAAAAAGGATATGATTAAATACCAGGATAACGGCAAACACACCAGCAAAGCCAAGTTGACAAAGCAATATCACACGAGTGAAATTACTATGTTCAAGTATGAAGAGAAAGAGAAGGTAAAAGAAGCTTTCAAAAAAAGGTCAAAATGGTATTACATAGAAGAAAACGTAATTGGATCTCAACTATAAAATATATTCTAGATCTATAATCTGCATAGACAGCAGATTAAAAAGGAAAAAAAGACTGGAAGAAAGTAATTTCAGAGTAACTGACATGCACAATTAACAATAGCTACCAGAAGTTTCATTTTTTTGGGTGTATTTTGATAGATTTTTCCAAGCACTGCAGAGAGACTGCATGAAAATTACGGAGAGGGACAGGGAAGACAAGTAAGAAAAATGACAGTAGGGTTTCAGTTGACTGACAAGTCACACCTGCACAAGTATCCCTAGATTAGAGCTATAAATCTACACATCTTTCTAAATCTCTGCTTGAAAATGAGCACTACTGAAGACTATATGACACATAAGAACCCTATTCTGTAGCAACAATTCTCTAGGACACTACACAAGGCAGAATAAAAGAACAGCTCATTTAAGCATCTTCTTTATTCATACCTTTCTCAAATACCTGATCCTGCAGCAGCAGCAGAAACACCACTGTAATTATATGTAAGCTTTCATGTTTCAAAGTGTTGTCATGACAATGTTCATACTCAAGTGTGCAAGTCACCTTTAAAAAAAACCAACACTATCTACCTCATTCTTTTTTCATGTTCTAGATTTACACCTAAACAAACAAATTAAAAGAACATTAAAGTAGGTAAATAGAACATTCCACTGCCCAGGAATGACAAACTTAAATGAAACATGCAACCATAATTGTTCCCTTAGGTAACAAGTATTACCTTCACATTGTAATTACAAGATCATACATCACTGCTAGTATCAGCATACTAACATTTTTCTCTACTTTTAAGGAAAGCATACAATAGCAAAAGAGCCACAGAGGAAAATAAAAAATCGATAGAGTTTAAAACTAGATTGGAAGAAAAAAAAGGACATAACCACGTTTGACAGTGATAAGCATTGGGATGGTATGCCAAAACTCAAGGAACTGAGTGCTAGTGAGATCCTTAAACTGGTCCACAAGGTGCCAGCTACAATGGATCACACCCAAAACTTTCTACACCAACACACACAGCATGAAGACCATCACTTAAAGCGACTAAGGAATAAGGAGTAAGTGAATAAGGAATAAGTGAAACCCAGTATGATGAGCCCTTGACTGGAGTGCCATGTTGGATGGTCACAAGTTCTTCAGGAGGGACAGGCAGGAGAAGCAGTAGGGCTGGAATACCGCCTGAAGTCAGGGATGGCAGGTTGGCAGTCTCTGAGTAAGGGTTAAAGGACAAAAAATTAATGTGGATGTCATCATAGGAGTCTACTATAGGTAGATTGCAAAGAATTACTCTTTGAGGAACTAAGGGATATCTTCAAAACAACTGCCCTCGTCCATCCAGGAAGATCAACTTGCCAGATGTTAACTGGGAGCATCACACAGCTAGCACAAATAGGTCCAGAACAGTCTCAAATCTAGACAGTCTTATGAAATAGCTACGAATGGAGCCAGCTACAAAAGGTGCCCTCCTTGATGTCATGCTTATCAACAGGGAGAATCTCAGGAACGAAGTAGTGACTGGTGGCCACCTTGGCCACAGTGACCACGGAGTGATTGAGTTTAAAATCTCCGTTATCAGGAGGAAAAGTGACGGCAAAATTTTGGTCCTGGGCATGACAAGGGTTGACTTAAAGCTGTTTAGAGAACCATTAAGGTGCCATGAGAAAATGCTTTTGAGGGTGTTGGGGTCCATCAGGTCTGGTCATTTTTCAAGCACCACCTTAAGTCAAGCAGAGGAGGTAAAGGCCAGCTTGGCTGAGCAGGAATCTTCTCTAGGAAATAATAAAAAAAGTGAGGTGTATGGCCACTGGAAGCAAGGTCTGGTGAACGGAAGAACTATGAAGATGCTGCAACCAATGACAGGACATGAGGGAATGCCCTGAAGTTGTGTCAGGGAAAATTTAGGTTGGATATCAGGGAAAGTTCTTCACACAGATGGTGGCTGGGCACTGAATAGGATCTCCATGGAAGTGTTCACAACACCAGCCTGGCAGAGTTCAAAAGTGTTTGGTCAATGCTCTTGGGCACATAGTATGAGTTTTGGGGTGTCCTGTGTAGGGCCAGGACTTGGACTTCAGTGACTCTTGTGGGCCTCTTCCAACACAGCATATTTTATTACTTTATGAAGGACAGTAAAGGAACAGCCCTGGTTTCAGCACAAGACATTTAAAATTCACTCAGCCTTCTGACATTTTATACCTCTGCAGTTTCTCACCTCCCAAGTCTCTGTTCACATACTTCTAATCCCTAGGGCTCGTGATTGTTGGCAATGACAGCAATTTAGCAACACAGCTTCTCCTCACATCTTCCAGAAGAGTGCAGAGAAAGCTTAAAGTGCCTCTGCCAGATTTCCAAGAGACTTTCTCTAACATTACATGTATTTTCATGGAATGCTTCACCTACTACAGTCTTCGACTGAGATGAAGAACAGTCACATTCACTTTCCAATGATCATTTCAATGTTACAAATATTTTTTCTGCAGGACAAATGTATTACAGGATTCCAACCAACAAAAGTCCTTTAGAAATACTTATCAGTAGAAAATCTGAAATCCACACTGCAAATCTGAAACAAAGCAAGAACTTCATTGTCAGATCATAATATCTAATGCACTATTTCTGCTATTTTTGCATGTCTCATGGAAAAATGAAGATGTTCTTTCTAGATTAGTTATTACTGCAGCATTTTCATTCATTTTTATATACGTCTCCATGCGACAGAGGAAATCTATGAAATTCCAAATTGACAGCAAATAGGCTCATAATTGAAGATCCCTTGAAGGTTTAGGACAGTAGTTACTAACCACAAAAATGTTTTCAGAATTTGAATTGGAAAAATCTCTCTAAAATTGTATATGATTTAGTTAGATCCATATTTATTTAAATTAAAAATAAAAACTTAATGATTGAAGAGTGGATTTTATTATTTTCCCTTTAGTCCAGTAAGAGAAATTCAGGCTTTCCATGACTTTCACATGACCCAAAAAAGTGACTGTGCGATGACTTATATTACAAATAAATATTTCCACAGCTTTATTTTTTGTATAATATTTTCCTAAGCAAACTCTAAAATAAAAAGTTGTTAAATGATTCATTGCATAACTCAATTAAATGTAACCAAATTATTACTTCATCATTTTTCAGACTTCCAAAGCAGAAAAAATAGGCAAAATCATTCGCAGTTTAGTCAAAACTGAAGACAAAATGAGTGTGCTGACATATTCAATACATAAAACTTCCACAGATGGTACATACTCATGACATCAGCTTTGAAAAACAAAGAACATTTACAAACAAATTCCTCCTGAAACAATTTTTCTCTCCAGCTATCAACAACCTGTATCAAAATTGCTCATTATTGAATCATTTTGCAAGTCTTAGACGGTATTCTTTATATGACCTGAGCATAATGAAAACTTACTCATCAGTAACTCATTTTGCTCTCAACAATATAATCTACTTCATATACCAGGGGAATTCCAAGACTAATGGCATCTGCTCTCATAGCTTAAAAAAAATTAACATAAAAACAAAATACAGCTTGGCATTATCTGCTCTTCATATTTTCAGAAGTTAGTTAATTCATCAAAGACTATTTTATTCTCCCATTCCTTAGGTATTTATTCTGACTTCAATTAGGTAAACAATTACCTTGGAAGCACTGTAAAAAGAATATGCAAATCCTCTGAAACAACATCCTTTTTCCTAAAAAATACCAATATTTTGTAGCAGATGTGAACTAATGCAAGAAAAAAGGATGGTCTTTTTCAGCTTCACATGGGAGGACTGCTGTCTCCGCAATAATAAAATAAGAAACATACAGGATATACGAGAAGTAACAATGCACTTAAATAAGATCTTCAGCAGGATCAATATTCAAGCCATCAAAAACCACTGCCACATCCTTGCCCTGTCTGTTTGCCTTTCAAAATACTGAACTACAGATCCCACATTTGCTACATTTCTTTCAAAGAGAAAAAGTACATAATATAGTAAGTTTGAATCCTTCCTAGAGTTTCATCATCCAAGAGGGAAAACATGCAAAGCAACTGCTACTTCTTGATCACATCAAGTTTTTTATGCTTCAGAAGACCTGAGTGTTTATCTAAGAAGGCAAATATAATAATCTAATTTCAAAGGCAAATTAAATCTCTTTATAATAGATCATGCAGGAGTTCAACTGCCCAGTTTATTTCTCAGTGTATGTGGCCTTAAAACACTTTTATTTTGATTCATACTCTTCAGCACTCCAAAGCAACTAACAGATCACAAGTGCACATAAATTTTATTTGCATTACCAGAACTTCCAACAATACAATGTTTGTATCCTAAGTATGTTCTACATTACCATTTCTTTTTTACTTAAAAGTCCCAGTTTTTCACAGATTCTTATTTTCATTTCTGAAACTCAGACAACAGTTCTGTTCTCACAGCAGTCTTTTTCTACATCTGCCTTCTGTAATATCAACCTATTCTAGGCTCAGCTAAGTTTTGCATAACCAAGAACAGAATTTATTAATTTTGGTGTACAAATTACACTATCAGCATTCCTAAAAAATACAGTTATGTTAAAATAGGTATTTGCTTACTCTTACAGATATATATGATTTTCCTCATTAAATAAGGGTTTAGATGACTGAATGTAAGTCTACATATATACAGTCTCAAACTACAAATACATATGAATGAGGGGCACTCAAAGAAGCAGCCTAATTGAAAGTGTCAAGGTAAATCCAAGTATCTTTCTTATGAACAAAAATTTACATAACCAAGCCTTCTAAAAAGTTGTTTTCATCTCCAGTGGTAAATCTATTAAATAAAAAATTACATTTTTCTCTTAGCATATCACCTACCACACACTATTTTCAATGAAAATAATTAATTTGAGATTCTAGAATAAAAATTTCAATTTTCATGTACATAGGCATTTCCCTAGAGAAAGTTCATCAACAAACCACATACAGCCACATATAATCCTCCTTTAATGCACAAAATCTAACAGAGTAACAGCTTTATTAACACATTTAATCAACCACTCACCTGTACAAGAACTAATCAAAAACCTACCTCATCTTTATTGTTTAAGAAGTCTATTCTAGTTAAATCAGTGCACATGGACGAATTTATGGGCTGCCAATATCCAAAATTCAGTATCTGTTCTGTACACTTAATTTTGTCAGTTGAGTCTACTACCTAATGAGTAATAATGATGCATCCTTCTGCACCACCAACTGCCACTTCTGGTCAAAATGCTGTCACATCAGAAGGCATGTACAGTACTGGGGGTCACCCTAACTCCATACAACTCAATAAATTTTTCCACAAATTTATGTAGCAATTAAGATCCCCAAGCAATCTCTTCATCTCTGTTAACTCTAAACAAACATCAGCTGAGATGGCTATCTCTGGTCACGGCATAAACATTTTTATTTTCTCATTGATCTAGAAGGCAAGTTTGGCCCTAATCTATGAACTACACTTCATCATAGGCTTTCACAGCACAATCTTACCAATTTCACTTTAGGATTCCATACAAGCGCATATAGTTACTTGGTTAAAACTTCTGTGCATTCATCCTTCTAGCGCTATCATATAATAACGATTTCAGAGTAAAAGCTGAAAGTCAGTTTTCAGAAAGGACAGCCACAACACAAGGAAAAAATTTTAAAAGTCTAATAATGACACTATTAAAGCTGATTTATTAAAAAGGAGCACAGAAAGGAAAAAACTGAGGGTTAAGAAATATTTCAATTATTTGTTTCTTCACCTTTCCACCACCACAACCATATACACTTAAATGGGCAATACTGTCCACAGCTGACAGAAAGCTAATGCTGGGCTAGCTAATACTACATAATGGAGGCTTCGATTTTCCACATGAATAATTACAACAGCATGCAACTATCACAGCAGAACAAGAGAAAGGTTCAGGCTAGGCCAGAGAAATGGTGAAGCTAATACATTTATAAGTTAGAAAACAAAGCAAAGAGTACTGCATTTCGTCTAGCACTGTAACTACATTTGAAGACAAAACTACATACCATGGTGAAGCAGCCAGTGCTATATAGAAAAAAAAACCCAAAACATTTCTGAGACACCAAAAGACACTAATTCTGTCTTCAGATTAGAGTTTGGGTAGGCTAAAATACATCAAGTGCTCTAGCATTCCACAGTGATTGTGAAGATCAGTTCTCAAAATTAAAAGTATTTTTAGTTCTCTGGCACAATTCCTTCTGTCAATTACCTTTAATCACATGGTCATATTCAAGAACTTAACAGAGGAGCCAAGTTCAAATTTAATAACTCTACATGTGAGGAAAGGGATAACTCACAGTACAGGAAAATGTCTCCAGACTAAGTTTCGCAGCTATGAATCTGTCAAGGCTTTCTAACAATAACAAACTACATGGCAATCAAATGATTCTGCTGTCTGAATAGTCTCCATAAACTAGACAGGTACCTTCTACAGCAGTTCCAAGTATTTTACTACGACATACACTTGCAACTCTCCTCTCACTTGCATGGGTTTCATTGCAATGTATACCTAAAACATATAAAATTTAATTAAATTGAAACTACAGCTCAATAGTCTTCAAAAGGCTGCAAAGATTTTTTTATTGAGCTACAAGTTTATTATGGCATAAAAAGGTATAGATAAAGTTCAGACACCACACCAAATGGAATCATGCTTGACACTTTCACATTGAATGCATAAGATGCATAGTGACACAAATTTAAGGAAAACATTAGCCACAGTTAAGATCTTGGATTCATCACTGAATGAAGTAATACAAAACATATTTAAACCAATGCTTTTCTATGGAACTCATAGGAAAAAACAAGTCTCTCAGTGTTGTACGCAAATTCAAACAACACTGAATATGGAATCATCCGATGTAAATTAAAAGTTCTGAGAACAAAATAACCTGATGCTGTTGCCATCAGTTTTGTCAAGGTCTGATAGCAGTTACTTAATGACACTGAGTTTAAATCAAAACAGAATTCTCAAGCACTAAAATGGGAAATGTCACTATGTTGATGTGGGCACTTGTCTGTAATAAATTCTTGATGTACTACTTAGGAAGATTAATATAAAAATCATTCCTCAAAAGCATCAACATTAGCTAAGCTTAGCTGCCTACAGATTAGTGTTCAACACCCATACAGCCCCAGTGTAGTATAGTACTTTCACCTTGCTGGGCTCTTCCACATTTCCATAGCATTCCCAGGCCACCCTCTGATACACCTTCAGCTCTCTGTCTTCACACAACTCCTTCTTTCTTTCCACATGAAAATGTTCCCTTCTAGCTCAGTGAAGAGAAATATTCTATTGCTTGCCTAGTATTACAAGTTGCAAGCTGAACAGCTCTCAAGCTACTACCCACAAAACATGTAACATCCTTCACAATGGTTAATAAATATCTATCTACTAAATTGTTTTTATGTAGCTTATAGGAACTGATCTTCACAGGCATAACAATCTAAGCTCGGTTAAAACTCCCCTAAAAGTTCCACATTTCTATAGGCAGCAGATGAGAGATCTGCAGGTCAAAAATACCTCATTTCATTAAAAAACTGAATTTTCTCCTGGAAAAAGTCTAAGTACAATCAACAGAATCTACTTAAAGGTCTACCAACGTTTTACATAAAAACAAACAAAACTGAATACTGTTGGAAAAGTTAAAAGTAAAAACGAGCATTTCTGTAAAGACATCTCTCAATCTGACAAAAGCTTGAGCAAATTTAGTTATTCTGTCTTCCTCTTGGCTGTTGTAAAAATTCTGCCCTCCCTCTTTACTGCTAACCATAAATTCAAGTTTCATCATTTTTTATTTCTCCAGATTTAGAGAGGCCTCAGCCTACCATCAGCAAAAGTTACACAGACATTTTAATAACCTCATACCCTGAGCAACCTGCTCCTGGAACATTGCAAGAAAATGAATGAGTGCCAACCGAGGTGATCTTCCACAGAAAGTAAAAAACATTCTATACCGAACTTCTCTGTTCCCAGAAGAAAGCGTTTGCAAGGTGCAACTAAGAAAATACAAATGAATAAGATTAGAAGTGAAACCATGTCTCCCATGACCCTTAAAGCAATCATGTCACTGACTTCAGCCTCTATAGCATTACTTCATCTTCCCAAGATTACTGCACAATTACTTAAGATTTAAGAAAGCTGCATTTGTATGGACATTATCTACATTTAAACTGACATCAAAATTATCAATACTACATGAAATGAAATATGTTATTCATTATAAGCTAGTAAAACTCCTCTAAAGCAATACTGAATGCCTTTAAGGACTGCTTTATATCATTATATTAAAAAGCTGTTGAAACATACTAAGTCATGTTAACTACTTCAATTAAATTCAAATATAAAGGTATAAAATGTAAAATGCTTAGTGCCTTAAATATAGAAAGATACAGGATTCTTCAACAGATAATAACACAGTTTTTAAATAGTACGTTGTTCTAGGCAGAAGTGTCCTGTCCTGGACTAAATCACACCTCCAGCATCACGAAGGGAACCTGTCAAGAAGCCCAAGCTTTTAAAGCATTTTCTACAAAAATGCAGCCAATAAAATTGTAAAAACATAATAGATCAAACATTCACTAGGTAATTAGCACCTCAAGCTCAAAGACAAACTGAACCAGAAAGAACAGTTTTATGGGTACAATAGAACCTAAGTCCAAAATTTGCAAAATGCAAATGCAAAAGACAAAATGCAATTAGACAACTTTGACAGGTTAGCAGAATGGCTCTTCTCCTACTGCATGTGGCACACTGCCTGCTGCTCCTGTTGCTCACCACCCCCAGCACTCCTATGCCTCAGTGAAGCCATGACTCACTCAGAGTACCCGAAGGCTCACAAACTCTGTAACTCACTACGGAACAGAAGCTGAATGAACTCAGTGGAGGATACGACAGACAGGATGGAGAGCAAGAGTGGAGCTACAAAACTGCACAGCCAGAAATGGAGCAGGGGAATGCCCCATATTAGAGAGAAGGGCCTTTCCAACAGCAAGCAGCACAGCCACAATGACTGGTGTTCCACAGCCCATGAAGTGCATCCCTTCGAGGACATAATACCCCAAAATTGCCACTTGAACGCCACCTTCAACTCTGCTTCTGCTGCAAACTGTTCCATCTACATTCTCTTATTGCACATGGTTTACTGAATAAAGAGCATGGCAATTCACAAATTACTCAATGAACAATTACAGAGAATACAAGAAGTTGTGACAAACCACTTCAAACTTAGATTTCAAACTGATATCTAGGCTCCACTTGTCATAAGACATCTGTATTTTTGGCCTACTGAAAAGGACCTCATCCAAACAACAAACTCCATTTGTTATAGTCCAAATCTTATCTTAATTGAAAATAACATCATTGAAACACATGGTTGATGAAGAATATAAATTACCAGCCAGGGAATATGGAGAAAAAAAAAATCCATTCTAGGAAAATCACATTAAATTACTAAGTTAAGTACAACTGTTACTACAAAGTCTCGGCATGTTAAAAGCTAAGCTGGCTAGCAAGCTCACAGAGAAGATCCTAAAGCATAGGAAAAACGGTTTTAGTTATATTAATGATGTCACACACGAAGTCAAATTAAGTAAAAAATTTACCTGAATATGCAAATCTTACTTGCGTGTGTGTCATGGGCTTCTGTGACCTACAGTTACCTGAGTAAACATTTGGACAAACACAGTTCTGATTGATCAGTATGTCTCCTCCCATCCCTAACTCCACAGCACAAGGCAGGATACCAGGCACAAATAGCAAGGTAACTGTTTTAGCTTCTCACACCTATATGAAAACAGAAT